CGATGCATGGTTTGCGCCCGTTACTTCACAAAGGAAATGGAAAAGAATCAGCATGAACTGAAATGCAAAAGCCGGCGCTACGATTGCTACTTGTGCAAGAGCTACTCGACGTTTCATAAATCACATCTGATGACACACATGCGAATTCATCACACCGGTGCCAAACCATTCCGATGTGAAATGTGCAACAAATGCTTCGCACAGGAAACCAACCTTACGCGACACCAAAAACACAACCATAAGTGATCTAATAAATTACGAATTTGATAGAAGTTGGGAGCCCTTAGCAATAAAACACTTCCACTCTCCTAAGCACTTAATTCCAGAATTGTTCGACTTAATCACTAATTCTTCTTTAATTTTCATTCAATAAATAAATGTACAAAACATAAAAAATTAGCTCCATGTATTATTTCTCAACACACTACTCTCCCACAACTTATTATAACATTGCAGACGTAGATTTGCTATGAGGGAAAATAGAAGAGCTTTTTGTTTTATTTGCTCTGAAAAAATTGGAAGAACATTCAACAATTCGTTTTTTTCCAAAATTTTATCATTTTACTTTTTCGCAGGCCCATTTCGTGGACTGCGTAAAAGTATTGCATTTGGCCCAAATTTTAAGACACCCCAAAAATATGATTTCTATCCGTTTTCGAGGCCGTAGAACACGAAAAAATGGGTTTTAGAGCGATGTTTTATGAGTCTGTTCCACGTCGTACGTTGTACGTTGTGCGCAAATTTTTTAATGTAATTTGTTAACACGATAGCTCAACGACCAGTCGAGATAAATGAGATCTGGTGATGGCAAAAGTTTGGGCTTGTTTAGACTTAGAAACCATTAGATTTTCACCCACTTCAGATATAGCCTAGGATAACCTAGCCTATGGCCAACCTTTGAAAATCCCTGAAAATTCATACTTTTCTATGGAAGATACCTAAAATAGCCCCCCTACATGGTTTTCATCATATCAAACTGCTATTATTTCATCAAAATATTGAGAATTAGAGAGCAAGATTATATCATTTTCCCATGATTTCAGTATCAAATTCGAATTTATAGGTGAAAATATTGAAAATTTCCGAAATGGTCACACTTTGCGTACAAAATCGGTCATAGCTCACAAACTAACCACCTTATAAAGATTATTGGCAACTATATATCACTTAATTTTTTATGAAGAATCGATTTCCAGTTCAATCGACCGTATCTGAAGTCTCAATGGGGTCAAAAATGCAATTGTTCGCGGTGATATTTTCAACTCGCAATATTTTTTCCACTTGGAATAGAATTTTTGTGCATAAAGCTTGCAAAACGCATACGATTCAGAAATTTCATCTCGCAAACTCCAGTCTTTGTTATAAAATAACAGTGCTATTTGAATAACATAATATTTATTTCTCTACGGCTTTGGTATCATTTCTACATTTTCGTTCCAAATCCCTTGGAAAATACCACTTTTGTATGAAAGTTAAAAGAAACATTTGAATTCATTTTAATCCAACATTTGAGCATTTTTCCAAAAGCCGTGACGCGATAATTTCTAAATATCACTAGTTTTGAAGGGCATTTTAATATTAAGAAATAATTTTTTATTCATCGATATCTAAATTTTATACGAATGAATACAAACATGATTTTCATTTGAAAGATCTGATTTTAAATCAAACCATTTGAAATAGTTCTGTATGTTTTGATAAATTATTTGTAATTTTATTATTTATTATTTGGATTGATTGTGAAACAGATCACTGAATATAGAGAGTATTTGGATCCCACTGCGAAAAAGTTCGTCTTAATACGGTAAGACCATTTATTTTGAAAAGTAATTGGAGAGTAATTCAAAGAGTGATTTCCCCCTCGACGGAATCGTATTTACTTTTCATCACTGAATAAGCTAAAAACGCTGTCATTCGCACAAATCTACGCATTCCCAAAAAAAATCTTAAGCGAATCCCATACGAAACCATAGCCGTACTTGATAATACTTTCCATAGAGGAAGAGACAGCTTCTCAACTATTTTTAAATTTCAATGAATGTACACACGAAAATAAGTACCTAAAATCTGGGATAAATAAAACAAAAACGAAAATTCTGTCACTGTCGCATTTTGTACCAACACAACCTATATCTATGGGTGACATTGAGAGTATTGTATGTTTCACAGACTTTATATTGGAAAAAGTCAACCTTTTTGATCATGAAAATAGTAAACAATACAGCGGCACCTGGGGACTAAGAGCAATGTGTCATACTTTCAACGTTTGAACTAACACAGACGCATAGCCAGAGCGTCGAAACCGAACTGTCAAACTACAACGGGGACCGCGTAGTCGGTTGTCATTCGTTGCGGAACGCGCTAAAAGTATGCATAAGTACATGAGTACATATTTCAAGCATTCTGGTCAAAAAATATTTCAATTATTTAAAAAAATATACCTAGTGTATTAATATGAAAACCCATTTTTAAAAACATTATTCATATTTTAGGAACGTTTGAAAAAATACCGAAAAAGAATATGAACTTTCTTTTTTTTGCTCAAAAACTCTTTGCTAACATTTGTCTTGTTTTTGATTGACAAAGTGAGGTTAAGTATCTACTGACATGTTCAATGAGTAGAACAAATTTGTGCACTCGGTGGAAGCCATTGTGTGTTTAAGGAGCCACTTTATTCCCATGGGTCCTGAAACACATTTAAGCTCACTTTCTAGGAAGCGAACGTAAATATGGAGAAAATTGAATTAATTGACTTTAAAATTCATTTGAACATCAGAAAATCTAAAGAAAACTCAGATAAATTTGTTCATGTTGGACACATTTTTCTAAATTTGATAATGTGGATGTGTCATCCAAATCATTCATTGCATTTAAATAGGAAAGAGAGAAACAACATATTTTTACACACATATTTATTTTCCACTTGATTTTATCTTTTTTATTCACTCCATGAATAATATACGTTCACGAAAATGCGTTGTCTTTTTCAAACATAGTAGTTCAAATTCAACGAGTCGTTCTACGAAGGTGCACTTAAGACTGTCTGGCGTATATTTAATTTGTACTTTATTCTGACAGCCCCGTTGTAATTGATGATGACAGTTCGGTTTCACCGCTCTGCGCATAGCCGTTACTTTTGACGCAAACTATGTGCATGATTCTCTATTTCTCCAAATTTTCGCCAGGTGCCGTTTTATTGTTCTTGTTTGACGTTTCCTATCTATTTGTACAGACGATCAGAGAGGCTGGAAAAAGTATTTTTATTGTCTTTTGCAAAGATGTATAGTTTGAGAAGACCAACAATTAAGTCTCTCCAAATTTGTACACATACACAGTGAAAAATAAAAGTCCACACTTAGGCGGATTTTCGACTGGTAGAGGCGCCCAGTCTTATATTTTGCCTAGTAAATTGAGTTTCAGTCGAAAAACCGACTACACACAGAAAAGAATCCCCGGAAATTTTGGGTGTTCGCCGTAAAATTTGACATTTATATATAAATTTCTACATACATTTTACCGGCAACACTTCAATTTTCCGGGCGATGACATATTTTCGAACATTTTATCAAATACTATGTATATTTTACCGCTTGAAATGACAGATGGCGCTAATTTCTGTTAGAATATTTGAAATTATGTCATCGCCCGGAAAATTCAAGTGTTGCCGGTAAAATGTATATAGAAATTTATATATAAATGTCAAATTTTACGGCGAACACCTAAAATTTCCGGAGCTCCGTGACGCCAGCCCCCCCCGGTTCCAAAATTTAAATCCGAGA